TAAGGAAGGTCAGCTTCTGTGCTGGACCCATTCCTGAGAGGGTAGCTGGAGCAGGCACCTTCCCCAGAAAGAAGGGACATCTGGCCTCCTCTGCTCTCTCCTTCCTCCCAAGAAGTTTGGGACTTGAAAGAGACTCACCTTGGCAAGCTCTAGACTGGACCCGTGAGGCCAGAGGAAGAAAGACGAAACTCCTAGAAGGTGGAGCCTCCTTTGATGAGCTGGGGATCAAGTCTCCCCCAGCACAGACCACTCCTGCCTTCCCACCTACCAGTCCCAGGAGGGCCAAGAACCCTGGGGCAGGGGTGGTTTGGGCAGCAGGTGTGTTGCGTAGGGGGTGGGGTCACAAGACAGGAGTTCAAATCCTGGTGTGGCTACCTCCAAGCCCTTAGTTTCTCTGTTCCCAACTCCCTTGTCAGGACTTGCTGGCATCCTCTAATTTATCTGGGGGACTGGTTCTGTAACTGGAGAAGGAGGAACAGGGAAGGGTGCCCTTCTCCCGGGCTCCTTGGCCTGGCTTTGAGGCTGGGGTTGGAGGTTGCAGCCACAGCCAGACAGGCTGTTTGCAGAGAGGCCCTGGGACGCTGTGGCAATGCAGTCATGCTTCTGGGGGCCCTGGAACCCAGGGGCCTCTGTGTTGGGGAAGATGCCATTCTCCCTGTTTCTGGTGGCCTTGGCTGGGGTTATGGGAGCATCAGGGCTTGTCCCTTGGCCTGAACATTAGCTCCCCAATGAGGGTCATAATGAGGGAAGTGCGGTGAGGCTAGGAGGGGACACTCCTTCAGGTGGCTGCTTTGCCTCTGGCAGTTTCTTAGAGCAGGAGCAGTGAGCATGCTAGAGGTGAATGCAGGTGACAAGCTGGTCTGGGAGTAACTCAGTGTCCCTTTGAGGGATTTACAGAAACCCTCGTAGGTGAAGTTGCTTTTCAAGGGGCTTTGGCTGGAGGACCTAGTGGGGCAGGAAAGGGGTTTCAGCGTCATTCGGCCTTCTGAATCCATGACCTGGCAAGCCTGGCAACTTTGGACCCAGTGACTCACAGGGATGGTACGAGGGGAAATGGAATCATATGTAAAGTGACTAGCAGAGGTAAGACCCCACTCTTTTTTTTTTTTTTTTAGATGGAGTCTCACTCTGTTGCCCAGGCTGGAGTACAGTGGCACCATCTCGGCTCACTGCAATCTCCGCCTCCTGGGTTCAAGCGATTCTTCTGCCTCAGCCTCCCAAGGAGCTGGGATTACAGGCATCCACCACCATGCTCAGCTAATTTTTGTATTTTTGGTAGATATGGGGTTTCCCCATGTTGGCCAGGCTGGTCTCGAACTCTTGACCTCAGGTGATCTACCCGCCTCAGCCTCCCAGAGTACTGGGATTACAGGCATGAGCCATTGCCCACATTTTTGTTTTACTTCAACAACAAAGAGGTTTAGGTCCATGGATTCATCCAGAAGAGGAACTCATCCAGACTAGGGCAGAACTGGTTAGAGTCCTTTTCCTGAAAAAAAAAAAAAAAAAAAAAAAAAAAAAAGACCCAATTGGAGACTCAATTCAGTTCCTGCATGGCCTTGGGTAAGTCACACAGCTTCTCTGGTCCTCAGTTTGCCCAACTACGAGGCGAGGGAGTTGGCTCGGTTCGCCTCTGGGCCCCTCCGGCTCTATTATGAATGGGCTTCCACATCACTTGCGGGAAATGTCCACTGGTCTGGCTGGTTTTGCCCAGGTTTTTCTGGTTGGAACTTTTTCTGCAGATGCTGGTGGGCTCTTGGGCCTGAAGTCTGGGCACAGCTAAGAGCCGTCTTCCATGCGCTTGCTGCCTTGTCACTGTTCCCCGTGAGACATGGGAAATTGAAGATTGCAGCGGCAGATCTTAAATCAGAGCCTGGGCCATCCATCTCCCAGAACAGACTGAAATAACAAGGTGGGTGGCACAGATCACCGCCACATGGACAGTCGAAAGATATTAAAAAACCAGAATCTTGAGCCCTCAAATCCCTGAACAAATTTCCAGCTACCTCAGGGACCTGCATGTGGACGAGAGACGAGGGAATATCTCATTGTAGAGTTCCCTAGGAGGGCCAGGGGGCTGCATTTCAGGAAATGCCTTGGTCTGAGGGTTTCTGAGGGTCCTGCCACCTGCCATTGGCCTCCTTAGTCTGCCTGACCTCCAGCTCCTCCCTGAGGCACCCCCACTAGAGCCAGCCTGGCCAGAATGGCAGAGCAGAGTGCCCAGGTACATGGAGCCAGACTGCTGTGGGGCGCTGTTGCTCACCAGCTCTGCAAACTCGGGAAAGTTGTTTAACATTTTCGGCTCTCAGTTTCCTCATCTGTAAAATGGGAATGACAATGGTTATTTCAAGGGGTTGTTTTGAGGGTTAAATAAAATAATTCATACAAAGCAAACAGCACAGTGCCTGGCCTATCTTGAGACCTCAAACATTAGTCGCGAATATTAATCTTCTTACTTTCCTGTAAATGAGGCTACCCAGCTGCTGTTTCCTTCCACAAGCTCTCCTGCTCTTTCGCCTTTTTACCTTCCAACCATCTCTCAAGCCCTCAGTTCAACTCTCTCTTCCTCCAGGAAGCCCTCCCTGAATGATCCTCCAAGGCTCCACCTTCCACTAACTTCCAAGGCTAAATTTTTGTATTTGATTACATTTGTAGTGACTTTTCTTTGCTGTTTCACTATGTGGGATCCAAATTCCTTGAGCACAAGTCCTTTGCTTCTGTTTCCCCTCCCCGTTTCCCCAGAGCACCTGCCACAGTGCAGTGCACACCATAGGTGCTTCTAAAACACCCGCATTTGTCAAGTGGGGGATTCCAGGAAACTGGAAACAGAGTCCTCGTGTTTCTGAGAGTGGGTCTTTTGTCTATTTTCGGAGTTTAAATATTCTTCCAAAATTTCCCAAATTCCACTCTCTCTTTACATTACAACCACACCAATCTTTTCATGTCAGCCAGATGTACTTTTCCCTCCTCTCTACCCGAAATACACCAGAATTTGAAAAATGAGGTGCTGGATCTGGGAGTGCAAGATAGAGCAAGCGTTCTCTAAACCCTGACTGTTCTTGTCAAGCTGAAAACTTGGGGAGAGATTAGCTCTGGGTGAAAAGGAAGGTTTTGATGGCTCAGCCCAAGGCTATTAGAGCTTGGCTTTTTATAGAGGGACAGTCGGGATTTCAAAACATGAAGTCCTGTCTTTTGGAAGGTCAGCACAACTTTTGTTAGGCATCCCAGGACTCCCTGGGTGGTGGTGGGGTGAGGGGGGAGGGCAGGTGGAGAAACAGACCTGGTAGCCTTGGAGTCAGGACTGAGGACTGACCCTGCCATCCCAGGTGCTGTGGCTACAGGAACGCACACTGGAAGGTGCTGTCAGCCCCTCCAGCATGATAGAGGCGGAGATGGGGGTGAGGAGTTTATAGTCATGAGTTTGCAATTGTGACCAAGAAAATGACCCTTTGGTATAGTGGGACCCTTGGGGCAAGGGCCTTCATGCCATCTGCTCTGGGTGGAGTGAGGGAGACTTTCTTGATGACCTGAGACCCCAATCCTCTAGGGAAGTACAGCTGTGATATTCTTCTCTGGGCGAGTGAGTGAACGTTTGTTCCTGGCTACCATGAACACAACACTGTGCAATTATTAAGTACTCACCTCAGGGCCAGACACTGCTGAGTGCTCTACACACATGACCATCCAGTGTTAACAGTAGCCCTACGGGGTGAGGACCATCACCTCTGCCATCTAGATGAGGAAGCTGAGCTGCAGAGGCTGGATCACTCACACAAAGTCACCAAGCAAACACACAGCAGGCTCCTCTGACCAACTGCTATGCTAACCATTCTGCTGCGGTCCGCTGTGTGGGAAGAGGCAGGGGCTGCCTGCCCATACGTCGTCGGGGAGGCGGCTTTCCCAGAACTCCTGGAGTTTTCAAGTCATCCACTGCGCTCTGCCCCCTAGTCCAGGAGTGATGGAATAGCTACAGATGGGAATCGGAGATTCTGGGTGGAGATGGAAGCTGTTTCCCGCTTCAGAAATAATCATTTGGTCAGAACTGAGGAGCATTAGAGGCTCAGCCAGCCTAAGCACCTTCCCATTCTCTGGATGAGAGAACAGGCCCCTGGGGCAGGCAGCCTCGTTCATGTTAGAAGTGGTGGCAGAGCTGGGATTCCTGGCTGTCCTCTTCAGCTGAGGGGCCACTGGTCACATGGTATTGCTCTGCCCATGCAACCTGCTTCTCCTCCACTCCACTCTGAGAGTTCCACCGACCAGTCCCTGGTGCCCACGCAGGCCAGGCCAGCGGAAGATGCTCAGTCAATATTTGTGCAGAGGATAAAGGACAAAGGTGATCGGCTGGCCAGCTCTGTCCCCATCCTTCACCCCTAAGGGCAGTGGTGGCTCCAGATTTCCACCTAGGAGGCCGGAGGCAGTCTGGAAGGAAGAGGGTGGCCAGGGCAGAGGAGCGGCCTAGAAGACGGTCAGCCAGCAAACCTACTCTAAGGTCCCATTAAGGCACCCCGTGACTCTGCCCAAGAGGGACAATTGCAGCGGGGACAAATGATTCATCCCCACTCTTGAGAAGCAGAGGGGCGGGAAAGATGCAGGGCTAGGGGTGTGTGTTGGGGTATTACACTCAGAGGTGGCTGGCTTCGGTTCTGGGTTCCGAAGTCCCTGTGTGCCACTGGCGGTGGAAGAGGTAGAGGACAGCAGGGCCGGGGCCAGGCTGGGGCTCCAGCCGGACTTCCGCGGCGGGGGGCGCTCGGGCGAAAGGCTTCGGCGGCCTGGCCAGCAGCGCCCTCGGGGGTGAGGAGGAGGGAGGCTACGCGGACGAGGAGCCAGAGACCCGTGCCCTTGCCCGACAGCCGCTCGAAGCCCGGGGGTGGGCGTGGCTGCCACCGGCGGGTAAGTGGGGGCGGGCTCCGGAGCCCGCCTACGGAGGGGGTGTCCGGGCGTTCGCGGCTGGGGCGGCGCGGGGGGCGGGAGGGCGCGCGCCGAAGGGGTGGGGAGGAGAAGGGGAGGGCGGCTCGGGGGTGGAGCCGGGACCGCAGCGGCCGCCGCTCGCTCGGCGCTGTAGCCGCCGCTGCCGCCGCTGCTCTCGGCTTGGGGACGCGGGCGGGCGCTCCAAGAGGCTCCGGAGCCTGCGGCTGCTGCTCTCCTCCCGCTCCCGTGGCTGCGGCGCTCCGGGTCACGGCCCCTGGCCCGGCGTCTTTCGGGTCCTCGAGCCCCGGCCCCGGGTCCCGCGCCTGGCCGGGGAGAACGCACTCCGCTGCTCGAGCCGCCCCGGACTCGCGCCCCCGGGCGATGAAGAGGGGCCCGTGAGGGGCGCGCGGAGTCGGAGGAAAAGGAGGGAGGAGGGAGGCCGAAGAGGAGGGTGCCGGAGGCGGAGGATGCCGCCGCCGCTGCTGCCGCCGCCGCCACCCGCGAGCCCCCGGCGACCCTGACTCCAGACCCGAGGATGGAGCCGGCGCTGGGCGCTGCAGCTGCTCCCGGCGCGCCCCCGACCAGGTATTGGCCGGGTCCGGCGGGCTCCGGGGCGGGCGGGAGCGGACACTCCGCCGCAGCAACCGGGAGGGGCGCGGGCGCGGTGGGAGACGCCTCTCCGCTCGGGGACAGCCGCTACCGGCGGGGCGAGGAGGGGCGGCGGCGGCGAGGGACCGCGGCTTGTTGGGCGCAGGAAGGGGCTGCCGGGGCTGCTGGCCGGAGAGCGCCGCGATCGCCCCAGCCCTCCCTGCCCCCATTCGAGGAGGGCAGCAAACTTGAGACGCGCAGTGGCCCCGAGGCGCTCGGCTCCCCTCCGCTGCGGAGCGCACTCCGGAGCTGCTCCGGGCTCACGGTCCCACAGCCCGCCTGGCTCGGGGCTGCGGAGGCGCCTTGAGACCCTGAGGTCCCCACGTCCGCACCAACTTTCCAAACCCGGCTGCACCCGGAGGCGGGGGCGCCGCTCCCTGCTTCCTGCTCCCAGCCCTGGCGGGGCCTCCGCACCCAGCCCGCTGCGATGAGCTGGGCCCCTGTGCGGACCGAGCCGCTGGATGGTGCAGAGCACCCCGCGGGAAGCCGGAACAACCCTTCCGCTCCTCTCTGGATAGGACCCGGGGAGCAGCCCCTCCCAGGCTCCAGGGACCCAGTGCTGCCTTTCGCGGTAACGGCCCAGAGTAGCCCTAGCTGGGATGCTGGGCGTTAAAAGGCCAGGCTACCTGAGGAAGGTAAGACCTGGGGGTCGTCCTGGGGTGGCACCTTGGCCTGATTTCAGGTGCGCCCCCTCCCCCACCCCGGGCCTGCCCTTTCACAGGACTGCCTTCCACAGCCCCTGGGGCCGGCTTCCTCCTGGTGGACTTAAAACTGCTCCTCGGCAGGAGACTCGTAGGAAGGGCCGCTCCTAGGGTCCAGGTGCTCGAAGACGGGCTTGGGCCATTGACAGGGAGCTGGAAGCTGGGGCAGGGGAGGTGGCAGTCTAGTCAAGGACAGAAATTCAGCCCAGCATCTTCTGGAGGGGTGGGAGGAGCCGGGGGCAGGCTTGGGCGCAGGAGTCAGGCACCCTGGCTGGGAGAAACTGCTTTAACAAGCACAGGGATGACAGAGGCAAGCAGGTGGGAACCGACTGTCCAGGTACCTCCTTCAGAGGCTCCTCAGCCCATTGCAGAGGGACCTGCTGTCTCAGTCAGAGACCTTACCTGGGCAGGTAGTTCCCGGGTTCCTGTCCTCTGCAGCAGGGACACTTCCAGGCATCATGATGACCCTGTTTCTTTTTCAAAGTGCTGTCACCGTCATGACTCACACATTGCATTCACCAGGGAGGTATCAGGCTTCCAACCTATTCCATTCCCCTCCCTCCCGGGTCTTTAGGGAGCTGCCCGGGAAAGGAGGGGGTGGATTTGCCCTTGGGCCTTGACCCCCTGTAGGTGGCCAGGAGCTTGGCACAGCAGCACCTTTCATTTTCCTGTTGCCTGACCCTCATCCGGGCGGTGAGCAGCTCTAGGCCAGGCTAGTCCACGGCGGTGGGGTGGGAGGGGAGGGGTGCCAGGGAGAGGAAGTCTCTGCTAATCATTCCTGCAACTCTGCTGGGTCCTTGAAATCACGGCCAGCTGCCACCCCCAGCCCCCTTGACTCAACACCCGGCTTCCTCATCTCAAAGCAGAAAAGCATTTCCCCTAAAATCCGTCTCCCTCTTTGCTGAGTAGTTGCAATGCTTTTGGCCAGAGTCCTCCCCAACATCCAGAGTCAAGCTTCCCTCTGTCCTGTCCCCTGAGCCATCTCTGCGAGGCACAGGCCCCTGCTGGGAGAAGGATGTATCCCCCTGACCACTCTTCCCCCACCCCTTGCCGACAGGGCCCTAGCTCCCTGGCAAGGGCGGTGCTGGCCGCCCTGATAGAGGGGTGTGTATCAGGCTGCATCGACGAGGAGTACCTCTGTGTTCCACTGAGTCTGCAGGAGGGCGTCAAGTGCCAGGCCGTCCCTGGGGGGCCAGGTTCGGATTCCTCCTGGATACCCCTTGCCTACCCCTCTGTCTCCCTCCCTTGCCCACTGTGGGTCTCTCTTTACTTTCCCGACTCCACTCTGCATTGGTGCGGGGAGGGAGCATTTGATATTCATAATCTGGTTCAGAGAAGGTCCCGAAGCCCTGAGTCACTGTATGGTTTCCATGGAAACAGACTTGTTCAGAGGACTCGGTGTAGCGGCTGTGGTGGGGGAGAAGGGAAACATATAGTAAAACCAGGCTCCACAAGTGTGGCGGGACTTGGACCAACTCCCTTCAGTGGGGACCGTGAGGGGTGGGGAAGGCTCTGGCCTCCCCATGGGAGGGGCTGCCTCTCCCCCTGCCACTGGGGTCCCGTCACTGGGAGCTGCCTAGCTGCTTCTGTGGCTCTTGGCAGGCTGCTGCTTCTCCCATGGACCTTCTGGCTAGGTTCCCCAGGCTCATGGCTACCGCTCCCTGCCTCAGTTTCCCCCTCTGTAAATGGAGAAAAGAACACTTACCTGACAATGTTGTTGTGAAGGTCAAATGCAGCAATATACGACACACACTTCGAATGGTGCCACAGCGAGTGCTCCAGGCATCCTTCCTAGGATTTAAGTCAGGGCATTGGAAGAAACTCCCCAAGCATGTTCACCTAGATCCCTACCCTGGGTCCCAGCAGGTGGTCCTGACATCTGGCTGGGCGGACTTCCTGCTTTGAAAGAGCCTCTCAGCCTCTCGCCTGTGGCCCCAGCACATCCCCAGCTGGGAAGCAGCCAACCATTTCTTTCTACAGAGCATTTGTTTCAGGGTCCTGAGGGCCTGGCACAGTGCTAGGCAGCCCTGGGTTTTGTTCAGACCCCACCTGTCTAGGAGCCTTGTGGGAGCAAATCCAGATAGGAGGGCTTGGCCCTGGAGCCCCTTGGGGTTGGGGCAGACAGGGAGGGGCAGAAGAGGTCCAGGCAGAGATAGTGGCCCTCTGTGACGGAGTGAAGGCATTAAGGTGGGACAGGCCACTGTCACTGATCCTGGAGAGGCTGATTCATCTGGCTGGAGAAGCATCTATCTCTGTCTTGATTAGCTAGAGAGGGACAGGGAACTCTTTAGAAAGGTAACAGATCCTGCACACTCTCCTAACCCCAAATTAGAACCTCTAGCACTCAGGTGTTCCTAGCACGCCTCACGAGTCTGGACAGTCTTGGGTTTCCACCTGAGCAGCTGCCGATCTGCTATCGTCCTGCCTGCTGGGGAACGGCAAGGGGCTCCCCGTCACTGCCTGCTCAGCAGCATTGAGGAGCGAAGCTAGGGGAGATTCTGGGTGCCACTGATGCCTCAGCCCGTTTCCCTCACCGGCCCTTCTCTCTCACTGCAGCCCTCCCCTCCATGGCCCTCAGGTTCCCTGCTCCATGGCAGGGCTCCCTCCTCCCCTCCTGTAACATGGGCTTCAGCTCCAGGCTAGACACCCACACCCATCACAACCAGCTGTCAGAGCTGCAAAGCATGCTCTTTATCTGCCGGCCCTTCCTTCTATTTCACAGATGGGAAAACTGAGATTCCTGGGGTTGGCTGTATGGCCAGAGCCCAAGCTAGTGTTAGCCTCTCTCAGCTACACACCAGCCCTGGGGATCCCCTTCCCTTCTTGCCGGCTCTCCAAGCAACCCCGGCTGCTGCCCGGCATCCCCCTGGACACCCCCTGCCAGCTCTCAGGTTCCTGCCAAGGCTCTACCCACCGCAGGTCCCTCTGGAGCGTTTTGCTGTCCTCACTGGTGTTCACAACACCTTCCAATTTAATATCCTCTGCAAATTTCATTAACGGACTGTTTACTCCCTCTCTCAGGATCATTAATGAAGATGTTAGATAAGATCTGACCCAATGCTGAGGCTTGGCAGCCCTGCCCCCACTCCCAGATGCATGGCCCTCCAGCCCCTTCCCCTGGGCTTGCCTCCTCCACCCCGGGCCCTTGGGACCCTGCCCCCTCCTGCTATTATGGCCCATGACAAGTGCTTAGGGCCAAGTCTGTTTGAATTAATTTTGTAAGATTACTCGAGGCGCTGTATCAAATGCTTTGCTAAAAATCAAGATATATTACCCTGCCTACGTTTCCTTCATCTACCAGTCCTGTAATTCTATCAAGAAAGCTATCAAGTTTGTCAGGCATGATTTGTTCTTTATAAATCCCCACGGTGCCGCATGGGGGCACGGGGTTCCCGCGTTTTCTAAATGTTTAGAGATTCCCTCTTTGTGTTTGCTCCTTGATTAGAGCTGGAAGGCAGTGGGCTGGGAATTGTCAGGAATGCTGTCTCCTTCCCAGGGACGGGGAAGAATGCATGGCTCCTTTTCTTCTCCGGAGTTTTCTGCCAGTGTCAGCGAGTTGTTTAGGACCCACTGAGTCCCTGCAGTGTGTGTGGGGGCCCCAAGCTGGGCACTTGGGGAGGAGGGATAGGAGAGAGCAGGGGGAAGGAGATGGAGGGGGGTGCTGGTGAAACGGACAGGGCAGGTGAAACAGGCAGATGAGCCTGCTGCAGCCATTCTGAAGGTACCATTGATTGAGAGATTGCTGCGTGCCAGTCACTATGCTAACAGCTTTCCATGCCTGATGCCATTTAAAACCCTCGCCTGTGCTGGGAGAGGACTGTGACCTGCCTTCACCTGAGTACCTGAGAATCAGAAAGGGTTAAGGCTGCCCAGGACTCAAGGTCTGGGTTTACCCTCTGTTTATGCTGTTATGCTGCTCCTAGCCATTTTAGACACACAGAAAGGATCAAAAAGCTGAATGAAGTGGTTTGGACTTTTTAGGAGGTCAGAGTGGGGATGGAAGGGAAGCCTTGAGGGAGAGCTTTGGAGAGGTGAGGATCTCTCACACACAACCCTCAGAGCCTGAAAGCTGTTCTCTTCCTGCCGCTTCAGAGTTGCATGAAGAGGACCCTTAACTTCTCTGAGCCTCAGTCCCTCACCTGTGAAATGGATTCATCTGTAGTTCTTGCCCCTAGGCTTGCAGAGAAGATCCAATGAAGTGAAGCGTGAAAGGTTCCTACCTTGGTGCTAGGCAGACATTGTATATGTGTCCTACAATGGAAGTCCATGTTGATGGTGGCCAGACACTCATCTGGTTGGTCATATGCCCAGCGGATGGAGCTGTGGCCCCTCCTAATGCTTCTTACCCAGCAGAAGAGGGGTGACAGGGTGAGCCTTGCTGGCATCCCAGCCCAGAGGCATCCTTGGAACCAGCTGTGGGCTGGTGATAAGCTTTCGGCTTAGAGAACAGGGAAGCCTCAGCTGGGCGGAGAGCCCAAACCCGATGCCTCATTCCAGACTGTTTCAGGCCAGAGGGTAATAAAGACATTCTTTGGTGTCTTTCTGGAGGCATAGGATTTGGGTATTCCTGGGCTCCCTGGTCATAAAACCACTGAAAGCTCCGTGTGGGAAGCACAGTGCATTTGGGCTTCTGCCTGTCAGGTGCAGCAGTCCCGTGTCAACACCCACTTGGGATCACTTTCATTCGTGTCATTCAGCCAGGGAGGGAGAACCCTCTGGGAAGTGCTGAGATGGTACACGCCCATTAGTACGCCAGGGAAACCAGCCAGGAAGGGCTGCACCGGCAGCCCCCAATCCCACCAGCAGGTGCCCCAGGGACCTGCCCCTGGGGGATGGCCAGTAGGTATCAGATGAGCCAGTATGTGGGTTGTGGGTGAATGCTGTGATTGAGATTGGCACCAATGTGTCCTGGGACCCTGGTGGCAACCTCAGCC